GTGGTGTTTTTTTGGCGGCTGTCCAGGTATCGTTGAAGTGTCTTGTCGAATGTGGTATTACCATATCCTTTATTGATGAATGTTTGTCGAAGTGTAGCAATTCTGTTGTGAAAGAGATTCCAATCTGAGGATATTTTGTAGGTACGGTGGATGAGGGCGTGGATGGTTCCAGTTTTGTATCTTTGAGGGCATTCACTCTGAGCGTTGAGGTAGATTCCCTGGCTAGTGGGTTTTTGATAGACAGATGTGGCGCATGTGCTGTTGTTAGCGTCGATATGTACATCCAGAAAATTGATGGTTTGGTCAGTGGCTATTTCGTGGGTGAATTTAAGCACAGAGTTGTCCTGTAAGTATTGTCGGAGTCTCATTAATTCATCGGTGTCCTTGGTAACGATGAAGCTGTCGTCGACGTATCTACAGTACAGTGCGGGGTGGTGGTTCTGCAGCACTTGGTTTTCTATGTGACACATGTAAAAGTTGGCGAAAGTTACTCCAAGAGGAGAGCCCATGGCAACTTCGTTGACTTGCTGGTATAGCGAACCATCGATAATAATCTCTTTTGACTTGTAATCAGAATTTCTATTAGTATGTCTAAAATTCTATTACCTTTACTATTGGCAAAAGAACATTACTTCAATGACTTGAGTGATTTATCAACAATTACACCAAGATTATTTCTTCAGTTTCACTGTTGAGTTGATTTACATTTATATTAAATATGTGATACCAATTACAATAATAACCCAAATGCATTACCTGGTACTTACTATAATCAAATGTCATTTTCCAAATATTTATCCAAATTACCAATTGATCCAAGTCATTCTGTAATACCTCAACATCCTCAGTACTGATGGATGGAAGAACAGAGAAGGTGGTTATAAATGGTGTTCAATCAAACTGAATTAATGTCACAAGAGGAGTATCTTAGGACTCAGTGTTAGGATCTTTGTTCTTTTTAAGTTGCATCAACGACATAGATGAAGGAACTGTGAATAGATTACTTAAACTTGCTGATTATATTAAAGTTCACTAGCTGTGAAGAAGATGTTCCTGCTTTGCAAAATGATTTAGATTATTTGGGCAAGTAAGTGGAAGATGACATATAATTATAATAAATGCAAGGTTATACACGTGGGTCTTCACAGTTTGAATTATAAGTACAATTTTGAAGTGAATAATCCTAACATTGCTATAGTGCTTGGTGTAATAGTGTTGCTAATGGTCAGGCAAATGGAATTTTAGGTTATATCTATAGAAATATTGAATACAAGTCTAAAGAGGTTATAATTTCATTGTATAGGTCACTGGTTAGACCACATCTGAAATATTGTGTTCATTCATGGTTTACTTACCTTAGGAAAAACTCTGAACTGTTGGAAAGGGTTCAGAGGTCAAATAAGATGATACCTGGATGGAAAAGTTGTGGTGTCAGGAAGGTTAAGATCCCAAAAGTTGCAGCTGAAGTTCAGAAAAAAAGCCAATCAATGCTGAAATATATTAAATTAGCAATGGTGATATAGAAGGACAAGAAGAAAAAGCAAAAGATGTTAGTGATTTTCATGTAGCAGAGCAAAACCTAATTACCAGTAGGTTCTAAAGAACAAGAAAAAAACAATGGAAGCAGTAATATGAGTATGAGAAAAACATAAGCCATTTACAGCCATTCAAGTAAGTTCAGATAGCCAAGAGATTTCCACTAGTGATCCTGCACTTTGGCCAGTTACTCTAAAACATAATATGATTGCTTTTTTTAGTCGAAATTGGGCCTATTAAATGTGCGGAATATTTTAAATGCAAGTTGCCAAATGGTGAATTGATTTATCAGCAATGGTTGATGTATTCCAATTCAGCCAATTCTGTGTACTGTTTTGCTTGCAAACTTTTCACTTTACCTAAAGCTACCAGCAGTGGATTGGCAAAAGGCGTTCATGATTGGAAATACATCAGTGCAAAATTATCTGAACACAAACAAGGGAAAGACCACACTGATGCCATGATAAATTGGACTGAACTGTACAAAAGATTAAAAAAGGGAAAGACAATTAATGAAATTTATGGTCAACTTATTAAAAAAGACAAACGTCAGTGGCAAATGATGATTGAATGCATTGTTGCCATCATTATTTATCTGGCACAACATAGCATGGCATTTTGCAGAGATAGTGATAAACTGTTCACACCTGATGATGGAAATTTTCTAGATTTAGTGCAGCTCTGCAAAATTTTGACCTAATATGGAAGAACATAATCAACATGCACAACAGGGTAAGCTGGAAGACCATTACCTTGGTCCATTCATCCAGAATGAACTGATAGTACTGTTGAGTGATAATGTTCACAAAAAAAATCATTAATTGTGTAAAATTAGCAAAATATTATTCAGTTCTACTTGATTGAACACCAGATGCTTCCTGTCAGGAACAGGGTATGACAATGGCTCCAACATAAGTGGAAACGTTTGGTATCATTAATTATTCTTTCAATAGAAAGAGGTTTAGTTGAAAAATGTGATTATCATTCACATTTGAATGACTTTGCAGGAGCAAAGTCACAAAAAATTCACTGATATAACTCGTTTTCGCTTGTCCATTAATTTTTTTCTTTGACTTTATTTAATTTGTTACTACAAGTTTTTTTCTAAAGATTGTCATTTGTTACCAAAGAGTTCACTTATGATTATGTCTACATGCTAGCAATTAGTCAATTTATTACGTTCAACTGAAATAAAGATTATCTATAACTTCTGTTTTGGCCAGACCTTGTATTGGGCCTCACATTTGCTATCCAATTCCTACCATGTGTCCTTGATATCCTAACCTGGCAGTTTCTCCATTATGCTTAAACATAATACTGACATCTATCACATTTTGCTTCCAGTTACCTAGTAGCTCTAACCATATTAAAGTTTACTAGTCTGTATTTTCTATTTCCAATCTACCCACCTAATAACTGTATATTAACTACAATTAAGCTATTTAACAGTTTACAGGTTGATCTATTACTAAAATCTCCTTTGAATTAAAACTAATATTTACAAGTATTATACCTACAATGTACCCATCTCTTGTTACACATAACTAATTGTAAATTTAAATAATTTAGTACTGTATTAAGTTCTTAGTAGCAATCAAATAAAATAAACAATAATTTCAACTCACAAGTTAAATAAATTCTTCTTGTTATTCAGATAACACTTGAAATAATTTGTAATCTAATATTTAATAATTTTAGTAACCTATAACCTACTACTACAACAACATCAAAACAGTACGTTAAGCCTAATAATCTAATATTAGGCCTAATTTCATATGTTTAGCCTCAACAAAACCTGCAGAAATAAAACAAAAATATTCAATCCTAACAACCATCTAAGTAAAATAAGTTATCTAAACTATAATTATGCAAAAATAATACTTACCTTCTCCATAAAAACATTATAATCTACATAGGGTGACCAGAGGTTTAGCCCCTTCAGGGAAAATTATAAACAATAAGTTATGCAAATAACAAAGATTAACTTCAAGTGAAAAAGAATCTTGTATTTACATTATGTTGTTAGTTATTTTTCTGATGAATGAATTTTTATGACCAACTTCTTATTAGCCAGGAGTCTGTCAGAAAATTCTGAGAAACTGTTATTCTCCTTCATTGTTGAATTATTATAATTATAAATAAATTGTTCACAACTTGAAAACTACACATTACCTGTGAACAGCACCTGCTTTTGCCTTCGAATGTGTCTATTTGACAGTAGTAAAACTATAAACTCGGTGATGTATGTAACAACGACATCATCTCATCAGCCGGAGCCTGCCTTGTAGTTAATTTCAGAGGAAGGTGCAAAGGCAATGCTGAGTCATTCCAAGCTGTGTTATAATTTTCTTACTCAGTTAACAAAAATGTATTTGTTGGTTCATGGCTGTCAGAAGCTTAAAGTACTGAATATGATATTGTTGCGTCAGCGAGTCACG